CTCTGAAAATAATCGACTCTCGACGAGACTGAAGCGTCTGAGCTTCATGGGCTGGAAATAAATTTATGGAGGCAAAGTTTGAGATAAACAAACTTAAAACCAGTTTAGGATCAGAGTTCATGACCTGAGAATAAATTAAAAAATTCCAAATTCTAGATCAAATGCTTTAAATTCTGCTAAATTCTAGATAAACATAATTCAAACCTGTTTATGATGAGTATTAATGTCAATTCAAAGATGTTAAATTCTAGACTTAAGTTCTTAAATCAGTTGGTCGTGAGTTTTGTATCGAGTAAATCTGTGTCATTGAATCTAAAACAAGTGAAGTGTTTCAGGGAAAACTTTTTCTAAACATTTGTGGCCAAAGTTTCAGATTTTCTGATGAGTTGAGTCCATTTTTAAGATGATAAAACCAACAGAGGAGAGATGAAGATGAAGAACCTGATAAAAGTCTGAAAATGCTTGAGCTCCATCGACTCCAGTTGACTTCACACTGAGAAAGTGTGACACCTCTCTGTCCCTGCTGCTGTCAGGCTCCTCACTCTGCTCCTCAGATGTTCTGCTCCTCAGATGTTCTGCTCCTCAGATGTTCTGCTCCTCAGATGTTCTGCTCCTCAGATGTTCTTTTGAACCTGCGACACATGATCCTCGGCTTTTTAATGTCACGATTTAGTTCATAAATAAATTTCTATTCCTAAAATGTAGCTGAATTTGACTGAACGTCACAATCACTGAAGACCGACTTTGTGTCTTCAGTCCTGGTCCTGGTTTAGTCCTGGTTTAGTCCTGGTTTAGTCCTGGTTTAGTCCTGGTTTAGACCTGGTTTAGACCTGGTTTAGTCCTGCTTTAGTCCTGGTTTAGTCCTGGTTTAGACCTGGTTTAGACCTGGTTTAGTCCTGGTTTAGTCCTGGTTTAGTCCTGGTTTAGACCTGGTTTAGACCTGGTTTAGTCCTGGTTTAGTCCTGGTTTAGTCCTGGTTCAGTCCTGGTTCACGTTCTTCTTCTTGTTTCTTCTCAGGTCCAAACTCAGCCTGTTCCAGTCCAGGTCCAGTCTTCAGAGGGCGAGCGTCAAGGTACGAGACGGTTCTGGAGCTGAGTCGGGTCACGCTGGGGGTGCCCTGCGTGTGCGTCTATGGTGGAATGTTCAGCAGTTACTATGGAGACTGACACAAAGTCGACCAAAATTTCCACCTTTAAAATCAAAGACGTTTTTATGTTTTTAATGAGAAAAACTTCATATTCTTTGTGTTTTCTCGTCTTTGTTTGAATCGTCTCGTGTCTTGTCTGGTTTTTCTTCTCGTGTTTTAGTTGAAAGCCAAACGGAGCGAGTGCACGTCCAAAGCCACTCACGCTCGGAACGACTACCTTCTGACGCTCGCCGCCGCCAACGCGCACCAGCAGAGATACTTCCACACGGACCTGATGGACTGCATCAAGGTGAGCGCCGCCGCCGCAGTCACCGGACGCTCGCGCCGTCCGCCCGAGTCGTGTGTCGAGTGTGTCACGATGTGGAGTTACAGGAAAACTCCACACAACGATACACGCATCACGAATCTCAGACACAATCCAGACGGAGAAGGAGCTTCTCAAAAGTGAACATCAAACCTCCATGTTTGTTTCCCAGTGGGACGTGTCTGTTGAAAAAGTCGATCTTTTCAAGTCTTTTGAACCATTTCACTTTTGTTTCTGGTTCTGATATTGTCATATTTTAGTTTTGGGATTCAGACATCGTTAATTGTTGTGGTTGTTGGATCCAAACAGCGGAAAACGACTCGAGAAATGTGTTTGTGAACTTCATAAATGTAAAAGTGAATCAGATGTGTGTGACTCAAACCTCCGTTCAAACTGTTTCTCTTCTCAACAGAATTGAAAAATAGTGAAAGGTGAAGGTGATGGGCAGGATTGATCCACAGGAAGAACCAAAAAGGAAACATTTGTCTGACTAAGAAATCATCCCGAGTTTACAGAGAACATTTTGTATGTGGAGCCACGACAAAACAAAATCCCGTTTGTTAATGTAGAGGAGCAGAAGACAAACAGACTGAGCTGCACTTTCTTGTTCTTGTGGTTTTACACAAACATCACGTCTTGGTCTTTGCAGTGGAAGGTGTTTCTTGGTGAACAGTTGGAGACTTTCACTTTGGTGTCGACTTTTTAAATCCGTAACCAAGACTGAGTGAAGGATCGGGATTTTGTTTTGTCGTGGCTCCACATACAAAATGTTCTCTGTAAACTCGGGATGATTTCTTAGTCAGACAAATGTTTCCTTTTTGGTTCTTCCTGTGGATCAATCCTGCCCATCACCTTCACCTTTCACTATTTTTCAATTCTGTTGAGAAGAGAAACAGTTTGAACGGAGGTTTGAGTCACACACATCTGATTCACTTTTGTATTTATGAAGTTCACAAACACATTTCTGGAGTCGTTTTCCACTGTTAGGTTTAGGTGTGGGCGAAATCTCCATATTTTTAATATATTGAGATTTGATAATGCTTATATTCAATTTTGATTTTGCCGCTTCTCTTGTTTGTCTCCTCTGTCGCCGCCCGCGCCGCCGCCCTGATTTTTTGTTCGCTCGTGTCTCCGTCACTCGTCACTGTCGCCGTGAACGAAGAAACTTGCTGCCAGTGAAAAACTTCTAGCGCCACGAATCTTTTCCACCATTTACAGACAAAACCACCAGCAGAACATCTCATGTTCCACCAGTCAAGTCCTTTAGTCCAAAAGAAGTTGAGCCGTAAGAGCAGCACGTGGAGTGAACTGTTTATGCAAATGAGCCATGCGCTTTTTAAGTTTCGTTTCTGTAAAACATAAACAAGTCTGAGCAAAGCTGCAAAAAAAAATAAAAAAAATTACATAAAATAAAATAATTAACACTATAATCTCAAACGGGCTGATGTGGCTCTTGAGTCATTATGCTTTATATATTTTAAAGTTTAGTCATGTAAATTCTATTTATGCAGAAGATTTTAATGAAGTGTCACTTGTACAACAGTGTTTGAATCGTTGGGTTTGATGCAGTGGATTGTGGGATTAAACCTCAGATCCTGACGCTGGAACATGGATCTGTTCAAATAAGAACATCCTGAGCTTCTTCTGTTAAAACAGTTCATGGTTCTGGTTCTGGTTCTGGTCTGGAGAACAGAGTTAAGGCAAAGATGAGCTTGTGTTGAGTTGTTTTATTTATGAATGAAACAAAGGAAACATGTTTTATTTCTTTTATTTGACAGTTAAATTATTATTTATGTAATTAGGGTTTTTTGTCATCTTAAATGTTCCTGTATGAACTGTCGACCTCTTACACTTCAATTTAAAAAAAAAGGACCTTGTGGAATTTGGCAGATTTGTTTTTGCAGTTTTCCGTTTTAGGGGGTTATTTTTCCTGTACAGATGTCGAGATATATATCGTATATCGAGATATATTTTTTGATCCATATCACCCAGCCCTAGTTAGGATCCAACAACCACAACAATGACGATGTCCAAATCCCAAAACTAAAATATGACAATATCAGAAGCAGAAACAAAAGTGAAATGGTTCAAAAGACTTGAAAAGATCGACTTTGACAACAGACACGTCCCACTGGGAAACAAACATGGAGGTTTGATGATCCTTCCCAGTGTGAGCTGCTTTGAACTCATTTTCTGACAGATATAAGTGTTTAGATCTCGCATTTTGGCCAAACTCTTTTGCCGTGTAAAGAACAAGACCCGTGTTAATGAGTATGTGTGTGTGTGTTTTGTGTGTGTTTGTGTGTGTGTTTTGTGTGTGTTTGTGTGTTTGTGTGTGTTCTTGTGTGTGTATTTTGCAGGTGTTGGACGGAAAAGTCCACGATCATGTGAAGGATTACCTGGTGTCTCTGTGTCAGACTGAACTGGAGACGTACGAAGTGGCTCACAGCTCCTTTACTCACCTGCTCAAGAGCTCCAGCGCGGTGAGACGCACACACAGACACACGCACACACGCACACACAGACACACACACACACAGACACACGCACACACAGACACACACACACACAGACACACACACACTAACCCCGTCCTCATGTGCTCAGACAGAGACACTTTATCCTCCAGCTCCGTCTCACTTACACTCGTCCAAACTCCACAGGCTCTTTATTATTCACACGACTCCAGTCACACGACTCCACTCACACACTCACACGACTCCACTCACACACTCACACGACTCCACTCACACGACTCCACTCACACGACTCCACTCACACCACTCACACGACTCCACTCACACGACTCCACTCACACACTCACACGACTCCACTCACACGACTCCACTCACACGACTCCACTCACACTCCACTCACACGACTCCACTCACACACTGACCTCACACGACTCCACTCACACGCCTCCACTCACACACTCCACACACACACTCCACTCACACACTCCACTCACACGACTCACACGACTCCACTCCACACACTCACACGACTTCCACTCACACTCCACTCACACTCACACACACTCACACACTCACACGACTCACACGACTCACACTCACACGACTCCACTCACACACTCACACGACTCCACTCACACGACTCACGACTCCACTCACACACTCACACTCACACACACACTCCACGACTCCACTCACTCACGACTACCACTCGACACTCACACACTCCACACGCACACTCCACTCACACACTCACCTCACACACACTCACACACTCCACACACTCACACACTCCACTCACACACTCCACTCACACACTCCACTCACACACGACTCAACACTCCACTCAGACTCACACGACTCACACTCACAACACTCACACGACTCACCACACTCACTCACACACTCCACTCACACACTCCACTCACACCACTCACACACTCCACTCACGACACTCACACGACTCCACTCACACGACTCCACTCACACTCGACTCCACTCACACGACTCACTCCACTCACACGACTCCACACACTCACACACTCCACACACACACTCCACTCACACACTCCAC